ACAATGGACCCACAAGTACTATCCATTTGTCCACGACTCATTTCTATCAATTTATAATTTAGACCATTTTTAAATTCTTCTCGAACTAAGGCTAAAATGGTCTAAAGGATTGGGAATTGGATAATTATGCGTTGTTTTCGACCTCCTTACATGAGGCACGCATTCAGATTGGAGAAGGTGATTGTAGCAAGTGGAGGTTGGCATGGGATGATATTTTTTCAATTTGCACTTATTTTAGATTTATGTTGGGACTTGTGGAGAGTTCATTCTTCTAAAAGATGGTGTGGCAATGCAAATTGCCTTTACGGGTGATATTTTTATTGTGGACGGTTGTGAGGGGCAGGCGTTAACAATGGATAATTTTCGAAAAAGTTTTTATGTTATCGAGTGGTGTTATGTGTAAGAGAGATTAAGAGACGATTGACTACTTGTTCATTCATTGTGATGGTGTTCGATGGCTATGGAACAGTATTCTAGCCTCTCAACATTGGGATTGGGTGTTGTCTAAGCTTATAGAAGACGTGTTGAGGGCATGGGGGAGAAAATTTCGTAATAAGGATAGTAGGTTTATATGAGATCTTATTTAGGGATGCGTTGTTTGGTGTATATGGAGAGAAAGGAATAGTTGCTATTTTGAAGACTAAACACGAACAACAGAGCATATCAAAGAATTATTTTATTTGACTTTGTATATTTGGTTTAATGCTACAGCTACTAATCATATAAAAGAGCTGCCTAATTTTACGTTGTTTCTTTCTTGTATAATTTGACTAATAAAATTATATCAATGCATAGTTCTACCAATGCACGATGTTTTATCAATTGAAATGTGAGTGTTAGCACTATTGCCATAGTTGCTTCGGTTGTTTTACAGTAATCAATATAGCTTTTTGGATAACATTCTATCACTTGCATCATATGCTCTACACGTGATTCTTCATCTGTGAACTAGATACAAGTGTAAGCGCTAATGATACAGAGGAATATCTAATGATTGTTAATCTTCTCAAGGACGAAGAAATATTTTTCAAGTAACTTATCTGCAGTGTTTCAGGCTTTCAGCTCACAGTCGTTTTCTTTAATTGCTCATTTTTATATATAGACAATATGTTCCTGATGAATTTCTCTTATTATTTAACCAGCTTGATCATCGAATACTTGCCACTGCGACGTTGTTTTCAATTTGTGGCTTGTGGTGGCTAACAAGAAAAATTGATATACATCCTGCGATCCGGTCTTTAATAGGAAGCAGTGTTGGCATGGCTGCTCTTCAGGTACTCGTTGTTTGCCAAAAATATAATGCCCTTATCGATTCTAAAGTAGACTTTCGCCTTTTCCTTCAAATAATTTGATTCTATATTTTCTTTGCTTTCATGAAGGTTACATTGGGGATATCGACTCTTCTGTCATATGTACCAGTTTCATTAGGCACAGCTCATCAGGCGGGAGCTCTAACACTTTTTACATTGATGATTCTTCTTAATCACACTGTGCGGCGACCTTCATTGTCACTTCTCAAAACGCTACCTTTAGTAGCTAAGACGACGTGATAGGTTAGACTCGTGATTGGGTTATTACAATACCTTTAATGTTTTTTCTTGTAACATAGGATTGTCTATTTAAGGTCCATCCTTTCAATGTGATAGGTTGGACTCTGGATTGTCTCATGATAAGGTGATTAGAACGGAAACATTTCAGTTTGAGAGCTGAAAAATATTTGTTAAGCATATTTGTAACCAATTATGTGTTGAGCGATTTTGTCAATTATTGTTTCCAAGAAATGATTATATATTAAGTTGATGTTGACTTCAATGAGAATAAAATTTTATTTATTGTTTGTTCCACTGTTTTGTCATGAAATTTGTTCTTAAGTAGAGTGATCAAAGTAAAATGAAATGGACTTGCATAGTTAAACTAGTGAATTGGGTACCATTATTTGACCTCAGGAATTGTAAAGAAATGGTAATTTGACTTGTGCTAAATTTGACTGCAGAGCATAGTGTAAATCTTTGTGTACACTTTATTGTATTTCAAGAAGTGTTGGGCGGGAAATTGTGTTTTTTTAAAATTATTCAATCATGTATCGTTGCGTGACACAATGTCAAAAATGATGTAAACAATGATGTACATGTAACATAATTGATTAACTAAACACCATTTGGGGTTGAGGAGAAAATCATATTCATAGTCCAAGAAAGTTTTCAGGGTCGTATATGGACTTTAAGGTAGCATAGATTTAAAAATATTTTTTTAGAATATTATTCTGATAAATTTGAAAATTAATCATAAATTGTGCATAGAGAAGAAAATAAACAAATTTATCGTCCAGTTTGATATCCATTTTTTTATCAAAATGTATTCTTCTTTCTTTTTTTTTTTTTCAACTACACATTCTTCATTAAAATAATGTTACACATAAATAAAAAACTTTTCCTTATTTTTCAATCACACACTTCCCATTAATTTACTATTACAAAATGTGTTTTTACATAAAAATAGCTCTCAAACATGGGTTTTGATTCAATGCAAGTCTTTCCAATTACAAGAACTAATCGGAGTTAGTACAAATTGTTATTCTAAATATAAAATTCTTATTATTATAATAATAATGTACACGTGACATGGGTGAACAATTTATCATATTCATTGTTTGAAGGTATGCTAAAATTCGGTTGGAAAGTGTTACATGTACATAATTGTCCACATAATGTTATCCATAATTACACGTGGCACTGGATCCAACCTTTAATTCAAATCTCACGCTTGCACATCAACAATCGGATGATTGCCACATCACATTAGGACATCATTTTGTGCAATAATTATGTACAAGTAAAATTTTCCAATTCGGTTTCCTTCCTAAGCTCTCACTTACCTTTGATTATCGAACTACTTCATAGATTGCAAGTCACATAAGATGCACTAATGCACTTTACGCATATGCATAGAATGTTTAAAATCAAATACTAAAAGACATATGATTGTCGAAATATCACATTTTTTTAGAATTTACTCAACGATAACTGATCAATTTAAACTAAACATCTCTTTCTTAAGTCTCTCATTCAAACTATATAGTATATACAAAACAAATTCTAAAATAGCAATACAATAGAATGATATTAAACTAATGAACTATAGATATTTACAAGTAACATACATAAAAATAATCTATTTCTTTTGGTTAATAGTTATATTTTATATATTATCCTCCCAAACAATAGGTGTTTTCTTTCAGAAAGCAATCATAATATTTTCCAAGAAAAAGTTTGGTAAAAAGTTCTTTTCATACAAATTTACAGATTATAAACTCAAATTTGTCCACATGAGGTTGTATTTGATAAGCTAGTTATCACCTCTCCAAATCTTTATTCTTGTTAGCCCTAGAAAGTAAATTATTTATATATAAAGTAACTGTATTTTTACATCAAACAAACGCAAAATAATAATAATAATAATAATAATAATAAATAAATAAATAAATAAAAAATTCTTTTTATTCCTCAAAAAGTGACGTGCAGTTTAAACGAAAATATGGATTTGGAGATGCTGCATAGGGTTGAAAGTCGACTATTCCGGTTTCATTATTTCAAAATTGAAACACCCATTGAACTTCAAATTTTTCGTAAATGAAACTGTTTAGTTCCAAATAATTACTGGAAACAAACCGAAACTATAATCTTTAGTTCTGGGTCGGATTCAATTCTACCATAGTTCTATAAAGGTGTAGTTCCACCTATTTCTTCATAACTTTTAAATAGTTCTATAAAACCTTGCATAGTTCTCTTCCAAAAGTTATGATAACATCTTTTTCTAATAACCTCGTTGAGTAATTCTAATTGCTTGTCTTGTTTTTATTTTTTATTAATAACATTAATAAATATACCAGAGTTATTTGCAATAAAATATATGAGTTTAGATGAAAAAGTTGACTGACAACTGATATAATAACATCTGATATTAGGAGCGTGAATGATTGGGCATAAAGCATAGTTATTAAAATCGGCCCGGCCCGGTAAACAGGTGACCTAGGTTAGCTTATTTTATATAAATGCAAGTGGCCCAGTCAAAATTCGGATTTGACCGGCCAATAAGTGATTTTTGAATAATTTTCGGGCCATCTCAGCCCAGTTCGACCTGATTGATTTTTAAACCAAATTTTAAAATTCTTTTACATTGAAATTGTAAGTACCAAAAATTTGAACCCTTAACCTCCAAGTAGGTAAAACACAACTTTACCACTAGTGCAAGCAATATTTTATTGTCTTTTGCTTAATAAATTATATCTAACCTATGAATAATTTGCTACTTTTAGAAACTTTTTAAAAAAAATTAGTCCAACATTTACATTCGCTTTGTTATTTTAAATAGTTATTTTATATACTTATTTTGTTTGAAAAAATTTAATTTTAACTAAGATAAATTGAATAGATAATACACAAATTTTTTGTCAATAACTAATAAATAATTTGTAAATCACAAAAAGGGAAAAATATATTTTTTAAAATAATATACAAAATTATAAAATCAAAATTTAGCTATTATCACTGATAAATGAGTTCAAAAAATCATTAATTTAAATGTGTAGAAAATTAGTGAGAAAGAACTTGAAAACTTTAATTTTGTTTCAAACAAAAAAATAAAAAATAAAAAATTATACTTTAAAAATTATTAAATTATTTTTAAGTAATGACCCAACAGTCCGATTACAAGTTCATCGATCCAATCAGTAACCCAGTGACCCAGTACTTTAATCGGGTCGATGTTCGAGTCGGATCTGATAACTATGGCGTAAGGAATTCGTCAGTAGCTTTTTAAATCCGTCATCAAATTCTATGTAATTAACTTGAAATGGATGAAATAAGCTCCAAAATGGTATTCCTATTTTTGTAGTCTAATAAATTCTTACGTGTAAGAATGGGCCAGCGTGAACTTTCCAACTTCTCAAGCCTTTCATTCAACAATGGTGGACTGGTTCCTCAGCAGACACACACACACACACACACACACACACACACACACACATGTGACAATCACGACAGTGTACATATTACATAATTAAACCCTTGGTGTCTAATCCAACAAGTACCATTTACATTCTCTCTCTATTCTGCATAGCAATTCACGCCCCTTTCTGTGCAATTGAAGAGTGATCGAGAATGGCGGAGGAGAGCGGGAAGAAATGGGTGTTGATGGTGACGGCACAGACGCCGACTAACATAGCGGTGATTAAGTACTGGGGTAAGAGGGATGAGAAGCTCATTTTACCCATCAATGATAGCATCAGCGTCACTCTTGACCCCTCCCACCTCTGCACCACCACTACCGTCGCCGTCAGCCCCGACTTCACTCACGATCGCATGTGGCTCAACGGCAAGGTATACCGTTTGTTCGAATAATTCCTTTTTAATTTTCTTGTCTACTCTTAGAGATGTGTCTTCAACAATAACACCCTTGTGCGTTTCTCATCAAAATTTTTTAGAACATTACATCTTTTGACGTTTAATCTAGACATTAATCTTATTATTTAATTAAGAGTAGATGGTGATTTCACATCCATTCTTGCATATGGTGTTTATCTCTGTTGATTCCTTGACATTTCAGAACTGGAAGGACATTTTTTTTTTTAAATGATGGTGATCAGGAATAGAGATTTAGTTATTGGAAGAGGTTCTGATTTCATTGTTTTATGTATAGATCGAATTGATACATTATTCATTTAGTATTGGATATTTAGAATGAAACGGAAGACAGAACGTGAATTCCTGATTAATATAGGAGATACCCCTTTCTGGAGGTAGATACCAAAATTGTTTAAGGGAACTTCGTGCACGGGCTAGTGAAGTTGAGGACGAGGAGAAAGGTATTCAGATCACGAAGAAGGATTGGGAGAAGCTTCATGTGCACGTTGCTTCTTATAACAATTTTCCTACTGCTGCTGGCTTAGCTTCATCTGCTGCTGGTTTTGCCTGCCTAGGTAAATATAAATTCCTCTGTTATTATGATTACACTTTTTCATTTCCTCCTATTATACGATTGATCTTTAACTTATTTAAATACCGGGGGCTATAGGATACTTGAATCTGTAATTATTGTTTTTAGTTAATGGAATGTTATGAAAGTAATTTCTTTTTGGACCTCAGGAGGCAATAAGTTCATAGAAGTAGCAAAAATCACTTTTGATTTGATGAAATATGAGTGTTCCATGTAGCATTGTATATTAAAAGGAGAAAAGGTGATGCACAAGTAATGGTATTTTGTGATGATTTTTAAGAGTTGTCATGCTATTCTCTGAGAGTAGTTTGTCGATTTACTTGATCTTTGATGCATCTGTTTGATAAATGTTATTTGACCCAACGGTAGCTAGGCTCCAATTCCACTTCTAGTCCACATGATTGGTTTACACCTCATATTTTATCGGCGAATCATGCAAATGTCTTTATTTTACAATTTACACTACTTTACGTATTTATCCTAATAGTTTTGAGAAGATTGACTTGTTTTTCTAAAATGCTCTTGTTGTTATATATTTAAGTTACAATAACCATGCAAAGGTAGTTTATTTCAGCACTCAAACATGTGTGTGAAGGATTTAAATCTTAATATGTTATAAGAGTTTGCTAGTTGAAGCATACTTATATAAATTTATTTTACATATTTGCTACAATTAATTGATCATATTGCATGTCTGTTTGCTTTAATTTTGTAGCAACCGAAATTTCTATTGCTGAAGTTATTGGATCACCTTTTCTTTGTACTTTACTTTACAGTGTTTAGCCTTGCCAAGCTAATGAATGTGAAAGAAGATCAAAGTAAACTTTCTTCTATAGCAAGGTATTTGTTTATCTCTATGTACATATCTTTAAACTTTGGACCTTTGGTCCATGGCCAGTTTGGGCATCCATTTTCAGTTTGGTGGAATACGGAAAACGACAATTTATTTTTATATAGAGTCACATTATTTACCCTTGTAATTTAT